GAATAGAATAGAATAGAATAGAATAGAATAGAATAGAATAGAATAGAATAGAATAGAATAGAATAGAATAGAATAGAATTCTTTATTAGCCAAGTGTGATTGGACATACAAGGAATTTGTCTTGGTGCAGATGCTCTCAGTGTACCTAAAAGAAAAGATTCATTCGTCAAGAGTCAAGAATCATAAGGTACAACACTTAATAATAGTCATAGGGTACATAGGGTAATAATAGTCATAGGGTAGTAGTAGTAGCACCACTATTACTATTTCTTGAATTTGTTTTCCAAAAAAACAATTTACTATTTCAGATTAGGACCCATCCTCAGGAAAATCCTCTCTCACCCTAGCTCTTTATCATTCTAAAGCTCTTACCAATTTCAGTTCTTCTTCTCATTCTCTCCCATTTTTCCCCCCGCCCACCCTTTTTCACTATTACGTTGCAAATGCAATATTGCAGCCAGTAGTCATGGAAGGTTCAGAAATGCTCATTAGCTTTGTAAATCATTTTGCCCAGCCGGAGAGAAAAGCAGAAATCTCCTTGGCTGTATACCATGAGTCGAAATCTTCACAGGGTTAGCCACCTTGAATAAAAATGGGGCAACAGCTTGAAAGAAACATCTTAGGGATCATGACATCGCTTAGACCAGCTTGTACCACCAATATTGGAACGAGACTTTTTTTTCCATTCGTTCCCCAGATATGATGCTTTGTTTGCCTCCGGCTGAGAAAGGAGCAATGATTTGAACATGAAAAACAAGATCAGGAGGCTTGGATGGATTCCACTTTCAAAGGAATATAGTTGCTAAGGCCATGAGTAGAACCAGAGAGAAGTGCTGGGAATATGAAAGAAACTGAGAATTGATAGAAGAGAAAATGCAGAGCTCAGGGATGAACTGAGGAATCCTTGGTACTTTGTGAGCTTGGTTGATTTTTTGCGGACATTTCATGACCCAACTAGGTAGCATCATCAGTGTTAGTAGGGAGCAAGGTTTGCTCTCATTTTATATACTAATGATTTGCCCTATCCAGTGTTGGTGTAAATATTGACAAGGCAATTCTTTCTTTCATGGATCTTCGCTTATACTGTTGTGTGCCCAGCTTCACTGCTAGATAATTTGATTCCAAGGTCAAGGTGAATTGTCCTAAGGAATATGACCAAACAGTGTAAGTTGAAATTTTTTTTTCCCAGCTTCCTGAGTTAAGTAAAGAATTTCCATCTTCTGTTAATATAGAATTGGGACTCGATTAAATTAATCTTAATGCCAGTTTATGGTGTAGATGCTATTTTTCTTAAAACAAGGCAAAAAAAAAAAAGCAACCCTAGTATGTCGCAAACTATTTATAATTTTGCCTTTTAATCCAAACTAACAGTTAATCCTGAACTTTGATTTCTTCATCCGAGATTGCATCAGAATGAAGAGCTTAATTTTACCTGCCTAAAATTCTAATCAGAACTTTTTGGTGTGTGTGTGTGTGCGTGAGAGAGAGAGAGAGAGAGAGAGAGAGAGAGAGAACTTCAATAACAGTTTCTACCCTGGGAAATTAAAAAACAGCCTAATTCTGAAAAATCCATTATTAACAGTAAGTCTTAATTAAACATATTTACCGGCTTCAAGAATTTATCTCAGTGGAAAGATCCTTCAAGGTATGTTGTTCTACTTCAGGCTCAACAGGTTCAGAGATTAGAATAGTTTAGACTTCAGAACCAAATCCAAATAAGTTGTTTACTGCACTACAGTGGTGATTTTTAATTAAAGCACTGCTCTTTGCTTTCATATTTTATTGTGGCAATATATTTTTATTACCCACTGTGCTTCTGGGGTTTTAATTATTTATGTAAATATATGACTGCAACTTTGATTCTTGGAAGCCAGGGTGACTGAATCTTTCCCCAGCAAAAGAGGGAAAATGCTGATTATGGCTTTGAAGCATGGCTAATTGATTAAATAACCAAATTGGCAGCAAATACTTGGAGGACTCTATCTAGCTCTATTCCTCTCTGTCTAGCTTTATCTCTTTTTCTATATCTGTTTCTCCATGTGTGTCTATATCTATTTCTCTCTCTCTCTATTTCTACATCTGTTTATATATCTATCTCTCTGTCCATCATCTATCTATCTATCTATCTATCTATCTATCTATCTATCTATCTATCTATCTATCTATCTATCATTTATCATGTCTGTCTATCATTTATCTATCATCTATCTATCCTATCATCTATTATC